TGTCCACAAGCAGAATTACATTAAGGCCAGAAGGAGCAGGAAAGGGTATGTATTTAATTCTAACTTTAATAACAACAATGCAGCGAGAGAATTAAGTGGCATACAAACTACAATGGTACGCAATTTTAAGACCGTTTTCAGTTGCTTATAGCCTGCAAAACTAACAGGCAGAAATTTTTCATGCCAGGCTGTATGCCTTAGGCTAAAATTTTTGGGAAAGTTTCAATGAAAATGGTTCAGCCACTTCCCAGAACAAGAATAGGAAAATAACCTGCCTATGTTAAAATTAGGGATGTAAAATAAATCCTGTTTAATTAGCTAATCAGTTAAATGTATAGTTTAACCAGTTAATCAATTAAAGGAGCGAGCAAGGAGCTGCTCCAGCCTGGCCAGAGCAGACCCTGCCTATGGCATCTCTGTTACACGTGAGGCTGCACCAGCTGGCCTGGAGCCACTCTTGCCTGTGGCAGGCCAGGGCACCCTGCAGGCAGTTACTGCTCTGATGTCTCGGTCAGAACAACCCCTGCCTGCAGGGCACCCAGGCCCACCACAGCGCTCCAGGACCCTGGAGCAGCCCCTGCCTGTGCTGGGCCAGGACACCTGATTGGGAGCAGCTCCTGCCCGTACGGTGCCTGGGCCTGGTGTAGGCCCTGTCTGTGATGGCCCCCTCTCACCAGTCAACCAGTTAAATCTTCATATCCCTAGTTAAAATTAATGTTTCACTAAGAAGCACTAGCACTGCTGTGCTTTGGAACTACAATCTGAAATTTAGCTAGGGGTTCACATTGTATCAGGAATGTACCTTTAGCTGTTCCTATGAAATATTAAGCAAATACGGCAACAGCTGTTTTCATAGTCTTAGCTAAAATTTGGCAGCTAAATTCTCCAAATGTTTCATGTGTTGTAACAAATCTCAATTTCTTTCTTCTAAAAACAATTGCCTGTTGGCACAACAGATGCACCAATATATCTTGAATGCTAAGCCAATATAAAAGAATTCTGTTTGTCTGGGTTCAGTCCAGAAAAGACAACTTCAAATAACCTTAAGCCTGATCACTAAAAGGCAACTGAAGGAATATACAAAACAACATTGGTATTATACCATTGCCTTGTCCGGAAATAAACAGACAATCAAAAAAAATTTATGAAAACACCTTTCATAGCCATTTTATTGTATTGTTTTGTATCTGTCCATTATTTGACATGTTTTCATGTCTCCAGTTTTAGAAAACATATTTATTATCTGTATTTTTATGGCTAAGTTAAAAAATACCAGCCCTCAAATGTATTTAAAGAAAGAGTTGTCAAATATTTCCTATTAGGCTCATGTGGTCACACAGAAAAGGAAACCAATTTTTTCAAATATATCATTTGTTCGACAGACACACACACAAGCTTCTATAAATAACTTTCATCATAGTTTTCCAACATACTAATTATTGTCCTAGTTACATTTTTTTAAAAAATGCTACTGCCATATCATTACCTATTGTTAGTTGTTAGGTCACACTGGAACCCTGTTGGTTGATGGGAAAATCTCACCAATGGACAGCGAGCATTGAGTATCTTTTGTACACCCACACAGCCTGGGCCCAAATTGTCAATGCAATCACCAATCACAGAGAGGATTCTCTGTGATGCTGTTCTTTCAGAAGGTACTCTCTTCATCTGATATTCCATATAAAAGGCACCTGTTTTCTAACACAAAAAAGAGAAAGGTAAATTATCAGCTCTGAAAATAAGGTAAGATTCTGGGAGACTTCTGAAAGAATTGGAATCACTTGTTAAAAAGGGTTCACAATTAAAATTTTTTAAAAACACACATTGCAAGTAGTTTGTAAGACTCAAAGCAAAATATTTAATTGTTCATTTTCTTTACCTCTCTTACATTCTTTCCAAATTAACAACAAACAACAACTAGAAAATTAGGAATTAAATTACTTAGGTATATCAATGCTGTAATCTCACTACTGTATACAATTAAGTAGTGCAATAGTTTCAAAGATTTTTTTTTCAGTCATGCAAAAACTGAAAGGTCAAGATAAAGCACACTGTTTTAGTGACCTAATTTAATAATAAAAAATAAAAAACAAGAAGTGCAACCAAGCCACAAAACATGTTATTTCCTCTCTTAAGGTGTTTGTTAGCTTGTACCAACCACACTAATGAGGTTCTTTGTTAAAGAATATTTCCTTTCAGCTGTTGGAAAATCCCGAAGATTCACCAAATTGGTTAATCATTATTGCATAATGCAGCCCAGCTTCTTTAAGATTCTTACATTCACTGTTTCAGAAAAGAAAGCTAATGGTCTACTTATCGAGTCAGAACAATTCTCTATAGCAGTATTCTAACTGAGCCAATGTGCCTTTTCCTAGTGCACTAGGCTAATGTGTCTAATGCATTTGGCTAATTCATGTCTACTTTGGGTTACAGGCAATAATACTTGTTTCTTTACACCTGTGAAATAGTAGTAATAAAATAATAAAAATAATAATAATAAATAATAATAATAATAATAAAATAGAATTTTTCGATCATTAAAAAAAATTGCAGGTGATCTCAGCCTTACTGTCCTCACCACATAATATGCAATCCAAAAGGTAGGGGTCCAGGCAGAGACAGATGAGTCCTAGAGGTGAATACCTGGCTGCAAAGATGGTGTCGCCAGGAGGGCTTTGGCTGCCTTGAATATGGGATGCTGTTCCAAGAAAAAGGACTGCTAAGTAGGGATGGGGTTCACCTTTCAAGGAAGAGGAAGAAGTTATATGGATACAGGCTGGCTAACCTAGTGAGGGCTTTAAACTAAGTTCAATGGGGGCAGGTGACCAAAGCCCACAGGTAAGAGAAAAACATGGAAGATGGGTCAGAAATGGGAGGGAGCATGGGTTATTTATAATAGCAGAGATAAAGGAGGGACAAGGCAGAACTGGGGGGCAAAATCAAATCAGTATCTTAGATGCCAGTATACAAATACAAGAAGTATGGGAAATAAGCAGAAGAACTTATTGTGCTAACAAACAAACAAAACTATGACATAGTTGGTATCACAGAGACTTAGTGAGATAATACACACAATTGGAATATTGGTAAAGAAGGATTAAGCTTTCGCAGGAAGAACAGGTAGAGGTAAAAGAGAGGAGGTACTGCCGTATTTATTAAAAAAGTATACACTTGGATAGGTTGAGATGGATATAGGAGATGGACTTGTTGAGAGTCTCTGGGTTACGTTAAAAGTAGTTAAAAAAACCAAAGGTGATGTCATGTTAAGAGTCTAGTACAGATCATCTACCTAGGAAGAAGAGGTGGATGAGGCTTTATTTTAAACAACAAAATCATCCAAAGAGCAGGATTTGGTGGTGATGAGGGACTTCAACTAACCAAACATATGTTGGGAAACTAACACAGAAGGGCACAGATTATCCAATACATGTTTGGACTACATTGGAGACAATTTTTTATTTCAGAAAGCTGAGAAACCTATGGACAATTTTTTATTTCAGAAAGTTGAGAAACCTATGGGGGAGGGGGAAGCTGTTCTAGATTTGATTTTAACTAATAGGGAGGAACTGGTTGAAAATTTGAAAGTGGAAAGCCACTTGGGACTTCATGATTCTAAGGACTGGTACAAGGGAGAAGAGCACAATAGAGACAATGGATTTCAGGAAGGCAGTAAACTCAGAGAACTGGTAGTTAAGGTCCCATTGCAAGCAAGACTAAAAGGAAAAACAACTGAAGAGATTTGGCAGTTTTTCAAAGGGGAATTAAGGGCCCAAAAGCAAACTATTCCACTGCATAGGAAACACAGAAAGTATGTCACGAGGCCACTTTGGCTTAACCAGAAGATCTTACATGATCTAAAAATCAAAAATGAGTCATATAAAAAGGGGATACTATGTCAAATTACAAAGGATGAATACAAGCAAATAACTAAGTATGCAGGGGCAAGATTAGAAAGGCAAAGGCACAAGACGAGCTAAATCTACATAGAGAAATAAAGGGTAACAAGAAGACATTCCACAAATATATTAGAAGCAAAAGGAAGACCAAGTACAGGGTAGGCCCATCGTTCAGTGAAGAGGGAGAAACAATAATAGGAACTTTGGAAATGGCAGTGGTGATTAATGATTTCTTAGTTTAGGTTTTTGTTAAGATGATTGATGGTGACAGGATGCTTAACCATAGTGGATGCTAGTGGAAACAGGAAAGGTTTAGAAGTTAAAATAAAAAAAACAAGTAAAAAATCCTTAGAAAATTAGATGTCTGCAAGTCACCAGGGCCTGATGAAATGCATCCTAGAATATTCAAGGAGCTGATGGAGGAGGTATCTGAACTTTTAACTATCATCTCTGAAATATCATGGGAGACAGAAGAGATTCCAGAAGACTGGAAAAGGGCATGTATAGTGCTCATCTATAAAAAGGGAAATAAGAACAGTCCAGGAAACTACAGACCAGTCAGTTTAACTTCTGTGCCAGGAAGATAACAGAGCAAGTAACTGAGGAATTCATCTGCAACATCTGGAAGATAATGAAGTGATAGGTAATAACCAGCATGGATTTGTAAAGAACAAATCATGTCAAACCAATCTGTTAGCTTTCTTTGATAAGATAACAAGCCTTGCGGATAAGGGTAAAGTGGTGGACATGCTATACCTAGACTTTAGATTCTTCATCTGGCACCACAGGAGCAAGGCATCCTTAGCAGATTTCTTCTCTTTGTTGTCTTCAGTTTCAACACTGATATCTTGGATCTAGGATTCACAAACCAGTTGTAATTAAATCAATTTGTCATTTCTGAGCCATATTAATACCAGAGCAAAAGCAATATAGAAACCAAGGAACAGCAAAGCAGAAGAGCAGCAGTGCACAAGTCATTTATGTAGATTTACTTAGAACAAAAATCAGATGAATTACGTTTGCAGATGATACCAAGCTGTAAGATGTTGTGACTAATCTGCAGGATAGGGTCATAATTCAAAATGACCTGGACAAATTGGAGAAATGGTCTGAGGTAAATAGGATGAAATTTAATAAAGACAAATGCAAAGTGCTCCATTTAGGAAGGAACAATCAGTTTCATACATACAGAATGGGAAGTGACTGTCT